ACACGGTTCAAGGCCACCAGCCGCTCTGCGGGAGAAGGCTGGGCCTTCTCTTCCTGTGGGATTTAACTGTCTCTGAAAAGCCGCTGGAGGGTCAGCTGTGGGTTGGTTCGGACTTGGTGGTACTCAGTAACACTTATTCTGAGGGGGGCACAATTCATTTCCTAGTCCCTGTAATGAATGGAGGTCACCCTCGTAGTAGACCCCCAAGATGAAGATGCCAGTGTCAGAGGTTCAGGTAGGGTTAGGGTTAGGTCAGCTCAGGAAACACTGTCGGGGGCGTGTGGAGTCATTAAGGACTTGAGGGCATAGAGCAAAGGGCTTCTCCAGCTCGTTTCCATAGTAACTGGAGATGGAAATTCTGCAGGTCCTGGGAGTCCGTGAAGGACACCAACTCACGGTTCTCCTCCCCTCAAGAGGAAACAGGGATCCCCGACTTGCTTTACTTGAAAGAGAAATGTAACTTTTTGCTTGAAAGTGCTGTCAATTCTGACTTATAGAGGCATCCTGTAGGACAGGGCAGAAATTTTTCTAAGTTGTGTTTTAGTTTTGTTTTGTTAGTTGTTGTGCAAAGAGTCAGACTCGCTACAAAGACATCTAGAAGCCACACCAGCCGAGTGTATTATTAGCCCACACCAGCCGAGTGTATTATTAGCAAAGAGGTTTTCTTTAAAATGCGAGCTTTTTTTAACTTTTTTTAAAAATTTTATTATTATTTTGTGTGTCTGTGTACCATCAAATCAGATCTGACAGGTACAGGAGGAGATTGTTCCTCCTTCTCCAGCAGAGCATCTGGTGGATTCGAACCATGTGCCTCTGGGATTCCAGTGCAGAAAATGTGAGCTTTGATGAAAGCAGGTCATAGGCCCAGCTGAACAAAGAGAAGGGTAAGGGTCCATCCTTGTCTGCTCTGTTGGTCAGCTGGTAGTGACCGCAGTTCCAAGGGCCCGGAGCCATTTTCCATTCTTTTCAGCACCGCTGTTTTGTCTGCTTTCTGGAGTAGATCATAAAACTGTGTTTTGAGGTAAACATTAACCAGATTATTTTACTACTTTCTGCAGCACAAATACCCAAGTAGGGTCAGAAAACTGGCTAAGTAGAATCACTTTGGCTTCAGCCTTATTCTTGCCACTTTGAAACCAACTCATAGGGGACCACCCCCTCCAGGTGCAGAGGGGAACTGGTCTCCATAGGGGTTTCAGGACCGTGACCTCTCAGCGTGTAGGACAGAGAGAGGGAAAGGCTTCCTGATCCCATGCCCTCCTCACCACCTCTCACGCTCAGGCCCACTATTGCAGACACCAACTGCCAACCCAAAGGCACGTGGTTTGAATCCACCAGCTGCTCTGCTGGAGAAAAAGGGACAGTTGTGTCCTGTGCCATTTACAGCCTCTGAAAACCCGCTGGCGGGTCAGGTAGGGGTTGTCTCCCCATCAAGACCCAGACCCAGACCTGCAGGGACCACAGTTCTTATTCTTAGGCAACTGTGAGCCCAGAAGGGGTTTTGTCTGCTGGGTAACAAGCAAAGAGGATCCTGCCCCCCTCCCTTCCAGCCTCCCCCAATCCCAAGCTAACTTCAGCAACCCCAGGGAAAACAGGGCCAGGTCTGAGTCAGAGAGGACCAGAAGGCAGTTCCGTGAGTGCCTGGAGCTCTTAGAAGGAGGAAGGAGGTTACAGGGAGATAAGCCCACAGAGGGGGTGGGGGTGCTGCGTGGAGACGCTGATGACCTTGGGGACATTGAGAAAGGAGAGAAGGGGCCAAGGGGAGTGTGGGGCAAATATTTCCTAAGTGTCAACACTGTGTGTGTGTGTGTGTGTGTGTGTGTGTGTGTGTGTGTGTGTGTGTGTGTAGGGGGCGGGGCTAAGGCGCAGCAGAGGACCAGCCAGACCTTGCTGAGCTCATGTTTGCAGAACTGGGTTTAAGAGGGAGAAAGAGCAGGGGCGTGCCTGGCCTGGCTTTTAGGAGAGGAGGGGCCTCTAGGCGGATGAGAAACTGGGGTGCTGGGGAAGAGAGAAGGGGTCACCGTCAAGGAGGATTACAGCCCCCTCCTTCCAGGTTCTGAGTCTAAACTATTTGCCCCAGGCGGTTTCTAAGGCTGTAATGTTTATTGAGGGAGTTCTGTGTTAGGTCTTCACACTGGGCGAAAGGCCAAGGACTCAAGGAAGGGACCAGAGAAGGAAAGGAAGCTAAAGAAGTTTTATTAAAGGGGGCTCCCGGGCGGGATTCCTTGGTCTGCAGAGAGAGAAACAGGCAGAGAGACAGACCAGGGAAGTAGATTCAGGCAGGTGTTATATAGTGAGGCTCTTCTAGCGACGGAAGAGAGGGGCATTCCATGGTAGGTGAGGCTGTCCACTCCCTTTGTTGACATGTTGCTATTCCTTGAATCCTTTGTTCTCCCCTTGACCTTGGTCCTGGCCTGACACTCTGGTAGTCTAGTGGCAAGAAGCAGTGCTGCAATCCTGAAGGCACGCAGTTCAAGGCCACCAGGTGCTCTGAGGGAGGCGGATGGGCAGTCTCCCCTCCTGTGATTAACTGCCTCTGGAAACCCGCCTAAGGGTGAGCTCTGGGTTGGTTCTGACCCTGTGGTACAAACCAATAATGCTGACTGAAGCTGACAGCCACGTTTCTCTCCTCTCACACTCCAACCACTCTGTAGCAGTCAAATACTTAACCACTGTACCACCAGGGCTTTTCAATAAAGATTCATGTTATGTGGCACCATAGCTGACCCTCCCGTAGCTGACCCTCCCATGGGTTTTTACAGGTTTGCCCAGCTTCCTCCCACAGAGCCACCGGGGGATTTGAACCGCCTGCCTTTGGGTTGCTAGCACAACTTCTTACCAGTAAGCCACTAGAGTTCCCAAGAAAGCAATATGGGGCAGCTCAACTGTGTTATACATGGACTTACCATGATTTAGGTTGTCCACTCAATGGGCTCTATCAAAAACAGCCGCCTCATCTGTTTCTGAAACTTAGAGCATCATCGGCGATTCTTACGAGTTTAGGCCACAGACGTCTCAGCAACAAGTATTCCTCAGTCTCCATACCTGTGAAATGGGCTTGGCCATCCAGCCTTCTCACAAGGCTGGTGTGGGGATTAAGTCACTCCTAAAAAGAGGTGAGTTTTACCCTCTTCATTCAAAGAGATTTACAGAGCACCTCTGTGCCTCTCAGCTCTGGAGACGGGATAAAAGAAAACAACTGTGACTTCTGGAATCTATACTAGGATTCCTGGTAGTGCAGGGCCTCCAAAGGAGAAAGACCTGGTGATAAAACTTAAAAATTCAAGGGAGCTCTCGTGGCCTAGTGGCCAGAAGCTGCACTGCAATCTCAGTGGCGCACGGTTCAAATCCACCAGATGCTCTGCTGGAGAAGGAGGGGTAATCTCCTCCTGTACCAGTCAGATCTGATTTGACGGTACACACACACAAAAATAATGAAATTTTTAAAATTTAAAAAAATCCAAGGGAGCTCTGGTGGCCTAGTGGCAAGAAGCTGCACTGCAATCCCAGAGGAACACGGTTCGAATCCATCAGATGCTCTGCTGGAGAAGGAGTAATCTCCTCCTGTACAGGTCAGATCCAATTTGACCGTACACACACACACACACACACACACACACACACACACATAATAATAATATTTTTTAAAAAACACCTTAAAAATTCAAAAACTTAGGGGAGCTCTAGTGGCTTAGTGGCAAGGCGCTGCAACTACAATCCCAGAGGCGCACGGTTCGAATCCACCAGATGCTCTGCCGGAGAAGGAGGGACAATCTCCTCCTGTACCAGTCAGATCTGATTTGACGGTACACACACACAAAAATAATAAAATAAAATAAAATAAAAATAAGAAAAAATTTTAATTAAAAAAAAATTCAAAAACTCATTGCCAGCCCCTGCCTTGGGTTTCTGAGGCTATAAACCACCAGAGAGGAAATGGTTCATCTTTCTCAGAAGAAGCCACTGGGGGCTTTGAACTGCCAGAGATAACACCACCTTTGGGTTCGCAGCTCAATTCCCTGTGGACTGCGTCACAGAAGCTCCCGACTCTCTTACTGCCTGAACCAAACCAAAGCTGTCACTTCACCCTGTGAATCAGTTCTACCTCACAGCAAGCCCGCAGGCGGCCCTGAGCCCTGCAAGGCTGTGAATCTTGCCAGCAGCCGATGGCTTAATCTTTTTCCCCCCCAGGAGAGGCTAAGGGCATGAAAGACAAGATCTCTCCCTTTCTAGACTGACAGAGTACTTCTCCCTGCATATTATGAAAGAGACAGTTTTCTGTTACTGTCACACCAGCACACTTTGCTGCTGCCATGACAAACACAGAGACTCTGGAAGTCGCTCCCCTCAGTGTTCTCCCCGGTGGGCTTGAACTGCCGACCTTAGCTGCCAAGAGTTTTGATTGATGAATGAATGTCTAGAGCTCCTTTTGAAGACTCTAAAAGACACACCGGACTGGGAGGAGGCTAGAACCAAATGAAAGATACAGATGGCAGTTGGGAAAGCATGGTGGCCCTGTGGGGGCTGGGCTCTGGTTCCGGGAACCCCTGGGGTGCTGGCCTGAGCGGTATGGGGAAGGGAAGATAAAATCTGACTGCGGGAGGTCGTCCTTGGGACTCGCAGGAAAGGGAAGCTGAAGTGGATGAGGGGCCGATCTCAAGGTCATTCTCTGCCCTAGAGCTTTCTGGAAAACTCTGAAACGAAGTTCCCCTGCATGTTTAAGACAGTTTCCTCCTTTTTTTTTCCCCTAAAAGAATCAGCTTTCTGGCTCACTCTTGCATTTTTTGAACTTGATAGGGACAGGATTTGGGAAATGGGGCGCAGCCAGGGAGGTGAAGGGGGGGTGGTTGTCTTCCAGAGAGACGGAGAGGGACAGACCCTGCAAGACAGAGGAAGGGCTCAGGGAATCAATCAGTGTCCCCAGCATCTGGGGCTGCACATCTGTGGGCTGTGGGGCCCAGCAGCTTGGTAGCTCCCCATCTCCCCTCTTCTCCCCCCAGCTTGCCCTGCCCCACCTGCGGAAGAACCATGGGAACGTCATCAATATCTCCAGTGTGGTTGGAGCCATTGGCCAGCTCCAGGCAGTTCCCTACGTGGCCACCAAGGTACACCGGCCCCAGTGCCCTCCAACCCTCCCGCCTCATCCCCCTCTGGCCTCTGTCCCAGAGAAGGAGGGCCCGCCCACAGCACCCCGGGTTAGCCCTGAGGATCTCAGTCAAGGGGTTAAATGCCAATTTCGCCCAAGAAATTGAATCTCATGCCTATGAAGGAAGCTTCCCAGGCTGAGAGGCAACACCAGAAGGAACCCCACCTTCTGGGATCTGAACTGGCCCCCCTCGCCTTGTCTATAGGGGGCGGTGACAGCCATGACCAAGGCCTTTGCCCTGGATGAAAGTCAATATGGTGTCCGCGTTAACTGGTGAGTGGCCAAGGGTATCCTGGGGATGTAGGAGGGCTGCAAGTGCTGGAGAGGTCTTATAGACACAGATTGTTAGCTAACTGTCATCCAAAGGGGTGGCAGTTCGAATCCACCCACTGGAGCTGCAGAGGAGAGCCTGCTGGTCGGCTTCCGTTAAGACTTGAGGCTGTTACGTGCCATCAGGGTGGTGTGGCTCATGGTGACCGTAGGGACAGCAGGCCGAGGCACTGCCGGGTCCTGAGCCATTCGCACGGCCTCTGCTGTGCCTGAACCATTGCTGTAGACACTGTCTGTTCGCCCTACTAAGGAACTTCTTCCAATTCTCTGACCCTCTGCTTAAGCAAGCATGACGTCCTTCTCTGGGACTCAGTCTCCCCTGAGAAACGTGCTCGAAGTAAACGGAAGACAAAACTCTAACATTCCTGGGGAGCTCTGGTGGCCTAGTGGCAAGGAGCTGCAACTACAATCCTCAGAGGTGCACGATTCGAATCCACCAGATGCTCTGCCGGGAAAGGAGGGACAATCTCTTCCTGTACCAGTCAAATCTGATTTGACGGTACACGCACATACAAATAATAAAATTTAAAAAAAATTTTAAAAAAAACCAAAAACTCTAACACTCCTTACTTCTCTCTCTCTTTTTTAAATTAACTTTAACGAAAGTTTACAGAGACTTAGGATTTCCAATCATTCATTCTTGCACTTTTCTCCCTACCCATGTTCTTCCCCCAATTCACTCTTCTCTTTGAAAAGAAAAACTCTTTCATTGCTATACAATCCCTCTCCGCAAGTCCACTCTACTGCACAGCCTTCGTTCTGGACTCCTGTCATGACAATAATACCCAATCATATATCCCTTTTAAACAGTTCTCTCCCTCATCTGTTTCAATGCAGTATACATCATTCCTCCCCTCCTTCTCTGTCTTCCCTCAATCTCGATGTTAGTCCCATTTTACAACAGTGGCCTTAAGCAATATTTGTCCTTTTGTGACTGAGATATTTCACTCAGCATAATGTCCTCCAGGGTCACCCAGTTTGCATAATATTTTATGAGTTCCTTGTTTTTCAATGCTGCATAGTATTTCATTATGTGAATATACCACAGCTTCTCTATCCATTCATTTGTGGATGGGCACTTGGGTTGTTTCCAGTTCTTTGCTATTGTGAACAAAGCCACAATGAACATGGGTGTGCATTAACACTCCTTGCTTCTTTTTTTTAAAAAAATGTATTATTTTTTTTGTGTGTACCATCAAATCAGATCCGACTAGTACAGGAGGAGATTGCCCCTCCTTCTCTAGTAGAGCACCTGGTGGATTTGAATCAAGTACCTCTGGGATTGTAGTGCAGCTTTTTGCCACGAGGCCACCAGAACTCTCTTCACTCCTTGCTTCTTTTTTTAATTTTTAATTTTTTTATTGTATTGTTTTTATGTGTACCGTCAAATCAGATCTGACTGGTACAGGAGGAGATTGTCCCTCCTTCTCCAGCAGAACATCTGGTGGGTTTGAACCGCGTACCTCTGGGATTGCAGTGCAGCATCTTCCCACTAGGCCACCAGAGCTTCCTCACTCCTTGCTTTTTAAGAGCAGCGTGGCTGTACTTCAGGCAACGCTGATGTGCTCATCCCTCTGGCAGGCTATGGTTTCCCGGGACCATACTTCTCTGGCCTTCCTTATTTCTTAGCCAGCTTTTGCACACCGGAGGCGCAAAGTCTCATGACCTAGTGGGAAGAAGGCGTGCTGCAATCCCAAAGGCACGCAGTTCAAAGGCACCAATTGCTCCCTGGGAGAAGGATGGGCCATCTGGTCAGCTATGAGTCAGCTCCGACTTGATGGCACACAACAACAGCGTCCTAAAGGGGGCATTCTGGTGGCCGAGCCCAGAGGGAGTTACGCTGCTAACCGAAGCCAGAACCTCTCTGGTGATTTGCAAACACCAGCAGCATTACTGGAGAAAGATTGCCAATCTCCTCCCGTACCATTTACAGACTTCAGAAAACCCACTGGACGGTCAGTTCTGACTCTACAGCCATGAGTGAGTGAGTGAGTTAGGATGCTCTTGGAAAATAGTTTGTATGCAGTTGCACCGCTGACCCAAGGCCACATGTCGCCGGGGGTTCGAATCCACCAACAGGTCCGTGGAGTAAAGGTGGACAACCCTCTCTGGCGCGATTTACAGCCGTGGAACCTGGTCGAGGGTCGGTGGAGTGGTGGGAGCCCCCCCTTGACGGTAGTGAGTTTGAGTTGGACTGTTGTCTTGGTTATTTAATGCTGC